TGCTAATCATTATTATATCGACTTTATGACAACAGATGTCACAAATGGCGAAAAACTTTGCATGGCAAATTCAGCAGGAATATATCGCTAAAGACAAAGTAAAATATCTTTCTGACATTAAATAATTGAAGGAAGTAGACAAATTCCATTAGTCTAACGTTTCGTAGGTTTAGATTAGCAAACATAAGCAATTGCTTTCACTGCAACGCACTTTTTTTGCATTTCTTCTGAAAATATACTCCTCATTTTTATTTGTAATTATTTCATTACTTAGTTTCACAGTAAAATTGTTAGTATAATCAATTGTTTGCTTATTTTAAGAATTAAAGAAGATTCGAATAAAAAACTAAAAACCTATTTTTACGCTAAGTATAAGTATAAGTATGTACTCGAATATGTATGCAGAATTCCGCAAAAATAAGAGAAGCGATAATTTTGTTTAACCTGCCAATTAAATATTATTCCTATAATTACGAACTCCAAATTTAATTTTAGTTATGTCTAAATGAGAATGGCGGTAAAAAAAACAAAAAAAAAAATGAAAAAGAAGAACTCACTCAATTTCCCAAATTAACCTATTTCTTAAAAAAAAATCATATTCAAATTCAAACCCAAGAAGAAGAAGATGTATATGTAAATCCGCCCATCCACGTTATAAACTAATCAAGATTGCGAAATAAATGTAAATTGAAAATGTTCTACAACATGTTTTGAAAATTCCTATTTTATTTTTATGGAAAATCTTAAATTGTGTCAGTTTAATGAAAACCCTGACATTTTCGTAGGCAAAACTGGAAAAACTCGTCCAAAAGACGATGAAAATAAAGAAAGGTTTGATAACAGGAAGCATTGTGAATATTTACATCCTCCTATTACCCGTCCTCAAATCTTAGAAAGGTTCCTTATAAAACTAGAAGAGGTAGACGTCGCGGAAATTCTTTTTAAAGTGAGGTTATATAATTTCAATGATTTAATAACAGCCACTCCGAATATTTACACATACTTCAAATATTTCTCACAATTCCCGTGAGTAACGTATCAACAGAAAGATCGTTTTCTATTTTAAAAATCTGGAGCTGGAAATACCACTAAAAAAGCCACAAGCGGACAGAAAACTTTCAACGGCCATGTTAGCGTCAAAGTTGTAACTCTTCGAAATTTTTTCATGTTCATTACGATACTGCCTGTATTATCAGCATAGGAGAGGCCTATGTGTTACGTCCAGTTGATATATGATTATATACATAATGCGGTATATTGCCGATTAGTTAGTTGCCTTTTGCATTAAAAATGCCGAAAATTCCCAGACTTCATCGATCCAGAACAAATCTACAAATGCTACGTCCAAATTAAACCTCTCCGTGCCGTAATTCAGGGATAAGCGGATTGCTTAATGCGATTTATTAATATCGTAATCTACCGCTTGAGTGTCTATAAAGTAACCGAAACAACATTAATTGTACTTTAACACCAACTCGATAAATCTGCAACCGTGTTGTCAATTTAACTGTCCCTATTATTCTTTGGTGGCACGTCAATTTTTTAGCGTTAAGGAGCTTGATCGACAGTTTGAAATTGAAATTCTTTTTCCTCGTTTAGTTCAGTAAGACATTAATCAATAATAACAATACTAATGAAAGTCATTATCATCAAATATTATAGGTTACTGTGTTACCGTAATACTATTTACAAATCTTCTGGATACCTCCTAAGAACTTGCTGACGTTTTGGTTAGTTTTGACTTCTACACAACCTAACTGCAACTATTTTAGTTGGATCAGTTATAAAGTACAACGTAAATGCTAATTACTACTTCTACAGGCGTGGAATATACTAAAAAAGTGGTATAATTAATAAATTATAGTGTGGCCGCGTCCAAGATAATTTCTTGTAAAGTCTGTTTATAGATATAAGAATGTGACTCACTCATATGAATGAAGAAAAGACCCGGGCAAGCTGTAAGAATGAAATATGGCCGAACAGGTCCGTACTTTGCTTAGAATTTAATTATTTGGGGTTTTCTTAGGAAAGATACTAAACAATATATATTTATTTATGTATGTATTTATGTTTAAATCTAAAATAAAATTACAAATTATTTTTATTACTGACTTAATTTACTTAAAATATCACTATCGCTATCATCGCCTGTTCTAATTATTATTTGTTCTATATTATTTGCAATATGGATATACGATTGTTCTGCTTTTTCTATATGTTTAGCAGAATTTGCCCAGAGGAGGGATGTTAAAAACTTCGGTTTCTATAAGTTTGAGGACATTGGAATTTTCCCCGTGGAAAAACATTGTTACGACGAATGTCAGAAAAATCATTCAGACTGAAGCGGCAGGCAGTTCTAGTAAGAAACTAAGAAAGCCAAAATTTGAAGATTTGGATCGGGCAATTAAAAATGTACCACTCTCTAGACCTATCGTAAAACTAAAAGCAGAAAAGTTTGCTGGACAGCTTGGCATTATCGATTTCAAGGCCTCGGGAGGATGGTGGGAAAGTTGAAACAGAGACATGGTATAAATTATGGACAGATATTCGGCGAAGCCCGTGATGTCGACTGAAACGTCTCTAACGATTGGCTGGAAAAGACGTTTCCAAAAGTACCCTGCTGAATACATTTTTAATGCTGACAAAACGGACATTTTTTTACAAAATGACGCCAAATAAAACTTTTAAATTTCGAAGCGAAAAGTGTGTGCGTTGAAAATTTTCTAAAGAACATATAACAGTGTTAGTAGCTGCCAATACGAGTGGGAGAGAAAAAAGAAAGCTAGTCATGATTGGAAAATTAACTAACCCACGATGTTTTAAGAACATCAAGCCTTTGCTGGTCACTTACAAGGCAAACAAGTCTGCATGGATGACATCGCAAATTTTTGAAGAGGAAATACGGAAATGGGATGCAGAATTAAAGGGAAGGAAAATATTACTTCTCTTAGATAACTGCCCTACACATCCTAATATTCCACGGAATATTAATTTGGCATTTCTTCCAGCCAAAACAACAAGTGTATTACAGCCGATGGACCAGATCGTAATAACAAATCTTAAGAGTCGATACAGGAAAAACATTTTAATGGAAATGATCGAGTCCGAAGACAAATTTGTCATTAATATGCTAGATGCAGTCAACTTTATCAGTAAAGCTTGGAAAGAGTTGACAGCAGAAACAATTCAACACTCCTATCGTCATTACCGAGACAGAATGCTAACAGTTGTTTCAATCAGTTCTAATTTGACTTACTGAATACTCTAGATGATAAACTTGCTTTAATCCAGGAGGACTTATTACCGGGACAAAATGCCAACAGGAGTTGGAAGATGAGCAGCCACTAAGCGAGTGGATAAAGCAGTTTCAAACAACAATTACATTTACGAGTGAGGAGTTGCAAGATTTTATGGTGATAGATCAGGATTTGCCTACAACAGCAGACTTGATAGAGGAAGCCATTTACAACAAGCAAGAAAAGGTGAGGAAGAGCACCAAGAGGAAGAAGAAAATGAAGAAGTTGATCTGGGACCACCACCAACCATTCAACAAGCCCTATATTCAGTTAAGCAGCTAGAAATTTTTTTTATGTATCATGGGGAAGATGTCCGTCTCGAAGAAATGGTGAAAATACAAGCCAAAGTACGAGATGTTAAAAAATGTATATAAAATAATTAAATATTACAGAACACATATGAGTATTGTTATTTTTCAAGTGCTTAACTCTTTATAACGAAAAACCTTTATAACAAAAAAAAAAGTAGTCCCTTCAAATTCGCTATATAGAGTTTCGATTGTATATTAAAAAATCTCATATCTCTTCCATTTGGTACTTTTGGATATTTATGGAGTTTCCATTGCTCTCGAGGTTAATTAAATTAACAGGATTCAGTAGATACGTGACTAAAAACAGATATCGTTGGGAAATACAGCAGGTACCGGATATGTTAAAAATTTAAACAGAAATTTTATCATTTGAAGTAGAAGTAAACGAATTCTGCCACATAGCCCCCGCCTATTGTTATAGACTGAAGATTGGTAACCAAACAACGACTTCTTTTCGCGATTAATTGCGAAAAAGGAGAGAAAATTCCACCTCGAGCGGATTTTAAGTATTCCGACACTCTCCTAGGGGATCATCGATAAAGTGAACGCTTAAACAAGTAAACGTGAGTGAATTGTTGAATACGGGGTCTGTATTCGTGATCTGGTTTGGTATTATTTACTGCAATAGAGTAAAGAAAACCGCATTGAATTCAAAATGGTTTCCTTGTAGCCTAAAACCCACTCCCTATTGACTTGTTTCAGAAGGGACTTCGATGATTAGATTCGCGGTTTAACGTTTATCATTTTAAAGCGAATTATTGAAGAACGACATTTAAAATGATAATTCTGGAGGAGCGTCAAGTATGGCGGCTTAACTTATTGCTAACGGGGACGGTGATTTGGTTAATTATAAATCGTTTGCAAGTGTTTAACTTGATTTGACGTTTTCCGACAGTTTCGGAGACAATTGCATTTGCTCGTTGGTAATATTTGTCGGAAAGTTGGCGATGTTATTGCCAACTTAAAATTTGATTTTAGAACCGTCAACAAAAGTGACAACAATTTGTAACTATTGTGCTACGTTATGTTAAAATAGTGACTGTTTCTATGCGATGATGGCGACATAGCCACATAGTTTTGTATATAAACTCACTATACAGGGTGCTTCGACAACGGATATGGCAAAGATTAGCTTAAGATAGGTAAAAATTAGGAGAAAGAAACTTTTAACCAGAGTTGCAAGATTCATAGAGGAGCTACTTGCTAAAAATATTTGTAGTTATACGGGTTGCGTCAAAAATATATATTTTATTTGTTTGTTTATTTATTTTATTTGTTTTAATTAACATAGACCCTATAAAAATTCAGCAAGGCGTTCAAAATCATTACCAATGTCATATTTTCAAAATATATTATACAGAGTGTCTGTTATCTCTTACTTGCCTTAATTTTTGCCAAAAGTAGCGGCTCTTGAAACATTTCAATCAATATTGCTTTGAAAAATGAATAATTTGACAGTGACTCTAGTCAGTGGCTATTGTTCTTAGTAAGCTTAATACACATTTCGCATTTTATAAATTACGTATGTTATTGTTTATAATATATTCCTCGCGAGGAACTTGTCGATATGGAGTATGGCAATGCAGAAAAGGGTACTCTTTTAGCCTCCAGAATATATGCTCAGCGTCATTCTCAAGGACACCATCTTCAGCCACAAGTGCCTGAAAGATAAAAGAATATATTCGAAATAACAGTAAATAAGATAACTCCACACTATTTAGTGACAAAAACAAGTATTTTTTAACAATTACGAATCCACAACCGCCAAAATTATATTCTTTAGTTAAATTACATAAACAAGATATGCCAATTAGACCAGTCGTGTCTTATGTAACGGCTCCAGCAGTTAAACTCTCAACAAAATTAATAAATATTTTAAAGTTCCACACAGATTTAATTAATCAACAAAATATCAAAATCCCTTCTAACGCAACACTATTGTATTTTGATGTACAAAACTTATTTCCTAATATTCCACCTATGGATGTGGTAGATGTAGTAGATTTCACCCTCACTCGGAAACAGGTTAACCCATTGGTGAAACAATATTTATTAGATTTCTTAGTAGTATGTTTAGACCAAAATTATTTTGAATTTAATTTGGCAGATTTACATCTCTAAGGAAGTTTTGATTATGGAAAACCCACTTAGTCCTTTGTTAGCCGAGATTTTTATGGATAATTTGGAAAATATAATACTAGAACATCTTTTAAGTAAAAGTTTTCTATGGTGGTATAGATACGTGGATGATGTCTTTGCTTGCTTTGCTGGAACGGCAGACAATTGAATTCTTTTTTAAATCACATTAACTCATTACATAATCGTATAAAATTCACTATCGAGATTGAACAGGATAACTATTATTTTTTTAGACTTAACTATTAGGAAAACACAAAACAAATTAGCTTTTTCGATTTACCATAAACCTGCACACACGGACACAGTCATACATAACAGCTCAAATCACCCTTATACACAAAATGGCTACATTTCACTCTTTTATACACAGATTTCTTAATACGCCACTCTCAACAGAAAATTACAACAAAGAACTTAATATCCTTAAAGAAATTGCACTGAACAACGGCTACAATCCGTCCATTATCGATAAAATTATAAATAAAACACAAATCCAGACAACAGTAAACTTTATTTATCCGAAACTTAATACCGAAGACGAATAATTTAAAAAAAAAATCAAAAAAAGTCTCAAAACATTTGTCAAAATGTGGTTTAAAAATAGCTTTCAGAACTAACAACTCAATAGGAAAATTAAAAAAAAAAAAACAATAAATCTCAAAAATCAAGTGTATACAGGTTGAAATGCAGATCTTGTCCTAAAATTTATATTGGACAAACAGACAGATCCTTCAAGAAACGCATTAACGAACATAAAAGGGGGTTTAAAAATAATAGTCTTGATTCTGGTTATGCTACACACTTAAACACAGACATTTTTAACGACAATTTTGCTATTTTACATACAGCCACAAAAAGTAGAAAATTAAATTTTTATGGAAGCCATGGAGATTAACAAAATGAGACGTTCAAATGTATTGCTTAACGATCAATCAGATTTAAATACCTCTCCATTATTAAACTTAAATTCTCACAACATTAATTAAGGTTTTATTGTCATTTTTCGGTATATATAGTGGCAGGTAGTTTTTAAATATTACATTTGATAAAGACACGGTGTTTTCGAAGCAATTGTCATGTGAATATATATAATTTCGTGAAAATCTGAACCTTTAGTTATTATTTATTTTGAATAAGATTTACTTCAAAACATGTAAAATTTAGCAAGACAAACTTTTTGACTCACCCTGTATCAATCTTGTGACTTTGATTAAAATAATGATTCTCTATCTCTGTAAGTTAGAGAACCTTATAGGTTCTCTAACTTACTTAATAACACCAAGCTAAGACAATTGTAAAACGGATTGAAAGCAAAAATAAATGCCTTTAAATTAATTAAGAAAAATGATGGGGGTTGTCTAATTTGATCCCCTCCACTCGTTTAAAAATAATTTAAAAAATATGCAGAATGTGTGTTTTTAGAATAGTAATATTTTCGTAATATTTTCTTATTTTATCTATTAGTCAATTATGTTTTAAGTTTATGAGATACCTCCCTTGAACCCCAGACAAGAGTTCTGGAGTTTCTGTATACGTCTATTATTATCAGACTTATTATTGCATGGTCTATATACACTGTCGCAATAATTTATTGACGGCAAAACAAGAGATTCAGGTAGTATTTTTGTTGTGTCCTAATTTAGATGGTGTCATGGCAGCGCGGATGGTTCACATCCAGTTTTTTATAGAATGTTTATATAAACTCTTAATGTAAGAGAAACAAAATGGCGATCGATCTACTCAGATTAATCTTTGTAATTGTTGACCAGAACTATTTCAGATAAAGGAACTAAATTATCACATTGTGAACACCACAGGTCACATTAAGATATTCTGACCCATTTTCATCCACCACACTTTTTATTTGCACCAAGATAAATATAAAGAAAACAAGCTAAATAAAAACTTTATTCCTTTGATCAGTGTTAATAAAATTGAATTATATCCGCTGTGTGCCAAAATGGGTTGGATTTTAATAAAAGCAAAGTTACGAAAGCTTCAATTTTCAGGCTCCTCAGTTTCAGTATCTCTGGAGAAGCCAACAGGATAATTCATAAATATATCAATATATCATCTGGTACACTAGATATTGCAGTGGAACAGCTACAACCAGCCGTAAATCCTGATGGCTTACTTAACACGATACCATTAAGATAAAAAAGTGTATTTCCTTGACCAGAGTGAATAAATTTTCGGAATTTAAACATATCGCATTATTAATTATAACTGATAGTGTTTTTTGAAAAGTAACGTAGAGTAACTTAAACATATGGTACATTATTATAATATGCCGTCGGCACCCTTGTATCATAAATAAAGTTAGGCTTGGGTCTTCCAATTATTAAAAAGCTTCGAATGTAACAGTACAACTCTTCGCCGTGCATATAATGTTTAGATCGAACTATTAAATGTATTGAAAACAAGTAGTATTTATTTCATAAAGACTACAATTATCATATGACATTAGAATCGAAAGCTTCTCAGGTTCCTCTGATTCAGTTATTATGTCAGTCTCGGAGATAAGTGCAACTAAAAAGATTCGTGAAGACTTAACCTATTAAGTGTTAAAAGAAATTAGATCTGCATCTGAAGTACCTAGTAGTAGTAGTTTCATTGCCATTTGATAATGCGTTTCTTTCACATGGAAAATAAATGGCGGCGTTTGTTTTGCTCGATCTTTGGCGGAACACACAGACGTTATTCAATTTATCAACATAAAAACCGACAGGAACGACATAAAACAAACAAACTCCTTTAGGATATTAATCGCTGCGTCTCCCAAATCGATGATGCATCAGGCGCGACGTGTAAAATTAAGTAAAGTGCGTCTCAAAGAACTGAAGAAGCTGCGGCGAAGAAACGGGCTTTTCAGTAAAACCCGCAGTGTGTCGCCATAGAAACACCCTTGCACCCTGCCGGGAAGAGATTTGCCGGAAAATTCATTCAGAATTGCCGCTCCGGCTGCATCGTTTGTTCAAAAGCCGACTTTACTTTTGTAAATTATGGCCGGAGTCAATTTGCAAGAATTTTTAAAACGGAAGCGGACGCAATCGCATTCGGATTTTCAGATAATTTGACTGCGGTGAAGTGGAAACTAACGCCTATCCGAATAATTAAGATTTCATTGTCACGTCCACATAGCACAATGGATATGAGAATTTTTTACTTGAAACTTTTAATCTCGCTAGAAATGAGTTTTATACACAGTTATATTGTACAAAAGCAACGTCTTAAATTTAAAAAGAAAATAGTTACTTCACATGATTTAAACCATATTCAGCGCAACCCAAAAATACAGCGCGTTTTACAAAAACCCATTTTTTTATATGCATATAACTTTTCTTAAATGTCATCTAAATTTTTCGTCTTCAATTTTTTGGAAAGAAGGAGCTTTCAATTTAAATAAAATGGTAAAAAACGAGACAGAGTGTTCAACAAAACTGGGCCTTTGACAATTGCTCTTTACTCAAATATTTTTGTAATTTTAGTCATTTTTGAAAAAGGCAGTAGGGATTTCAGCATAAAAAAATTTTCACCTACGGCATTGTATAAACAATTAAGATGGCTGACAAAATTTTGTTATTACGCTATTATTTTTTTTATTTATTTATTTTATTTATTTATTTATTATCTATTTATTATATTTTATTTATTTATTTATTATTTATTTATTATTTGCGGTGACAAGAATATTTAATGCTTCTTCCTTACTAATACACTGTTCTCTACGCTTTCACAAAATCCTTTTATACTTTTAGCATCTTCTGGATGTTTTCAAAAAAGTCTACGACAAACTGAGCAACTCTAGATTTAAATTGTTTTCCTGCAGCAAAACGTAACGTATATATTCTCTGTAAAATTTCGGACATATGTCGTATTTCCACATTTTTTTCACTCACTTAGAGAATTTTTTTTTTCTTGGCGCAAGGGAATCATCACCTAGTAGACGACTAATTTTACATTGTGAATATCCGTATAAAAAATAAAATTTCGAAAAGACATCCAACCCAATGAAACCTAACCAAACTAATGCAAATTATTAAAAAGCATTTTTACGAAAAAACTTCACTATTTTCTGTTAATCAAGGCTTCAATACTACTACAATAGGATAAATCGTAAATATGTACTTCTATAAAATAATAATACAAAAGATATAAATATTTTTTCCATAACTGATCTTAGCTAAACGAAAGTTGAGAATAATTATACAGAGAATCCCAATTTCCATGGACCACTATGGCTATCTTGGTAACTATAAGAACTACAAAGTTGGTGAAATTAAAAAATACCAAATTGAAGAACGTCGAAAATACAAAAAAAAATGTTCCTTACGAATTTTTTGTAAAAATAATACTTTTTGAGATTTCGAAAAACCCCGTAGCTCGGTATAAAAAATCTGTTTTCTTAATGTGAAGCCGGACGTCGACAATGCTCTTGGCTGAAGAACATCAGAGACTGCACTGGTTTGAACTCACACACTTTAAGGTGAGCACAAAATAAAGAAGGATTTGCCGAAGAAGA